ACCAGTACTCGGGAAAATTACAGAACGCTGAAAAAAGAGATAGAAGGAAGATATAAACAAGTGGGAAAATATATTGTTTTCATGCATTGGTAGAATTAACATAATTAAAATGTCCATACTACCCAACACAATCTATAGATTCAGTGCAATCCCCAATAAAATACCAACGGCATAATTTACAGACCTAGATCAAATACTCCCAAACTTTATATGGAACCAAAAAAGACCCTGAATAGCCCCAGCAATCTTGAAAAAGAACAACAAAGTTGGAGGGATCACAATACCAGATTTCAAGCTATAGTACAAAGCCATTGTAATAAAAACATCCAGGTACTGACACAAGAACAGACATACAGAATAGAACAGAGAACCCAAAAATCAACCCAAGCCATTATGCTCAATTAATATTTGACAAAGGAAGAAAGAACATACAGTGGAATAAGACAGTCTCTTCAATAAATGGTGTTGAGAACTCATACAAATTAACAAAAGGAAGACAAAGAATTCAATTAAATGAACCTAAATGGACACTTCTCCAAAAAGGACACACAGATGGCCAACAGATATATGAAAAAATGCTCAAGGTCACTAATTATCAGAGAGATGCAAATTAAAACTACAAAGAGGTATCAACTCACACCTGCCAGAATGGCTACTATCAATAAATTAACAAACCACAAGTGCTGGAGAGGATGTGGAGAAAAGAGAACCCTAGTACACTGCTGGGGGAAACGCAGCCACTATGGAAAACAGTGTAGAGTTTCCTCAAAAAATTAAATATGGAATTGCCATTTGACACAGCAATCCCACTGGGAATATATTCTAAGAATCCTGGAACACCAATCAGAAAGAATATATGCAGCCCTATGTTCATAGCAGTGTTATTTACAGTAGCTAAGATCTGGAAACAGTCAAGTGACCATCAGTAGATTAGTGGATAAAAAAGTTGTGGTACATTTACACAATTGAATATTATGCAACAATAAAGGATTTTTTACCCTTTGCAACAGCATGGATGGACCTAGAAATTATTATGGTAAGGGAAATAAGCCAGTCAGAGAAAGACAAATATCACATGACCTCACTTACATGTGGAATCTAATGAACAAAATAAACGGATGAACCAATTAGGACAGAGACATGGGTGCATGAGCAGACTGACAGATCTCAGAGGGTGGGGGTGTGTGACGAGATTAACCAAAGAACGAATATGAATATATGCACAGCCCATGGACATGGACAATATCACGGTGAAGGCCTGGGGTGGGATAAGGGCCAGGTGGAGGGGGACGATGGGAGAGGAGGAATTGTGGACACCTGTAATACTATCAATAATAAAAATAAATTTTTAGCAAAGGATACCATCACCTTTGATAGCTACTATTATTGCTCCTATTTTAGAGGTGAGTTAAATGCAGTACCTGATTAAGTAAGGTGTCTTATGTGCCAGGTCATCCATAAAAAACAAGCAAACAAAAAACACTTCTAATTTACTTTATATGTAACATAAACCCGGGTTTCTAGTCTTGTCTCTGATTTAACCTAAGGATTGCCATCCTCAGCAGGAGTTAGATTTTTGTGACTTTAGTTAACAGCTCCTAACTTACCTAGTTCGGTGAGTGTGAACTGTGCTAGTACTTCTATGAGCCTGAGGGAAAGCAGGAAGTTATCAGGGTATAAAAGACTTGAAATGGTAGCAGAGCTCCAACATTTTTTTCCTTTTCTTTTCATGCTTGAGTCTTTACTGAAAAGTTAACAGGAACACTGTTTTTCAGGGTGAGACAAAAAAAGTGTTCCACATCAAACAAATAAAACGTTATGTAATGAACTATGGCTAGGAGTGGCAGGACAGAACAAAGTCTGCGCAAGTCAAATGTAAGTAGCAAGTGATACCTCAGAATTGTAAATCATGTTATATCCAAAAATGCTTACGTTACGAAACAAAAAGAAACACCCAGATATTCCACAAAATAACTTGCCGGCTGATGAATACAAGAACATTTAACAGAGACCCTGTGCTTATCATTCTCGGTTTAAACGGAAATTCCTTGTCCATAATCCCCAATTGTGGGGTAACCTAGACAATACCAGACATGAATACAAAACAAACCAGCACACAGCACAGCACTGCCAAGGCTTCAGAACGTGCGCAAAAGCGTTGCTGAAAAGCCGGCTCTCGCGAGAGTTCTACAAAACAAAGACAGGTCCCAGCACGCACCGCGGCCGAGACTACAGGTCCCAGCATGCAAGGCGCACACGGACAGCCAGCCAGACTACATTTCCCTATATGCTCTCCTGACAACGGGTCGCCCCCTCAGCTTGGGGGTTTTCTCCGTCCTCTCACTCCTCTCAGTCTCTCGTTAGAGTCCAGGGGTCGGACAGCGTTACCCACGAGTAAACTACGAAGATGACGATTTTTCGAGTCCTTGTTCATTGTCCACTGGATTAACAGCCAAGAGCCTGGGGCCGGGAGGGAGTGGGGAGGCGCGGGCGGGTGGCCCTGCCGGCTGAGCCAATAGCTCCGGAGCGGCTCTCCTGCGCCATGGCAACGGCGGTCATCCCTGCAGGGACCAGGGCCCCATTGGGTGGAATCTTTCGAGAAGGCTCGAGAAGAAGGAAGCGGAAGTGGCACGTGGAGGGGCCGGTGGAGGCGCCGGTGAGTAAATGCCGCAGATTCTGGAAACTTCTGATCAGTGCGATACATAAAGCTGAGGAGCTGAGACCTCCCATTTTGGGTCGGTATTGGGGCGCGCAGCGGGGAGTCAGCGGTTGCGGATCCAGGCCGGCGCCGAAGCGGCCCGCGG